GATGCTCATGTTGATTGTTTTTGCTGCTCTTTAAATGGAATGGCCTTCTACGTCGGTAAATCAATTTCAATTCAGCTTAATGTCATTTCGTAAATGCCTACACATCGAGAATAATTCCCAATTTGTTTACCTTTTGCCCATGCCCATTATTTGAAAACGCCTTAAGCTGGGCGACGTTGGGGGAAAAGCGTTCTTCTTGGGAGAAATTATATACTTAATCTGTATAATTCGCACAGGAAGCTCAATACACAATTTCAAGCTGTTGTAATACTAATTTTTATCGATATTTATCGATCTAATGATGAACATAAATGAAATGAACGTGATGTAGGGTATTTTCGTCGTCGTTTATTTGTATAGCAAATTTGCTCAAAAGCATGATATCGATATCGATTTTATCGATTACTTGGCAACGAGGCAAGTTATCGATTATCGGAACTAAACGCGGAACTATCGACTCGGCTATTGATACTGATCAAGAATATATATATATATATAGTTTATGGGGTCGGAGATGTCTCCTTCAATGCGTTACAAGGGTATACCCTTTGCAAGGGCATAAGGCTCGAACCAAAACCCCAATTCGTAGATGCGTTAAGTCAGGTTCACCGTGAACTGAACCATTGGAAATTTTTGTTTGACCTGCAACCCGTGAATTATCTAAACGAATCGATCTGAGAAACTTATAGAACTAGACTTGGAAAATGTATCTATCACAAGGCGAACAATTGCTTGTTTTATTTAAATTAAGATATTACTCATGAGACATATGCAATTATGTAGGGCATTTGTCGGTCGGCTTCTATTTGGATTTGGCAAATGGAACTAGTCCTTTTTGCTTTTTCTACTCGCCGCCTCTTTTCACATTCAATTGCATTTATTGACCGAAGAAATATTTTATTACTTTACGCTTGGCAAATATTTGTGTCCAAATGATATCAACATGGATATCTCTATGTGTGTGTGTGTGTGTGTGTGTGTGCGTGTGTGTGTGTGTAAATACGGCTGTATGCACTTCATGGATGCTTGTCTTTGTGCTTATTGGCCCACAACTCGAAATGAGAGCTGGCAGATATATGGACACATGTACATATAAGTTGATTCCATGTGAGTAGCCTACAATTGGGTGATTTGGCTATGGGCGGTGGCAAGGGGGGAGGCTGCTGTCTTTGGTGGTCGCGGATAAGGTTGATGTTAACACGAGAGAGGAGCGACGACCTGCAGCCCACCCACGTCTCTTCTCTATGCCGATCTGTCTGATTGCCTGACCGCAGGGCTAGCTGATATATCCAGGCCATTTTGATTTCTCGGCTTTAAGTTTTACACAAAAAGACTCTCTCTCTCTCTCTCTCTCACCACACTCTCTCTATTTCCATTTTTTTGTTGTTGTCCACGAGCTTTGGCAAATATTTTGGTCATTGCTGAGATTTGCGTGCCTTCAATGCTTTTGTTTGTTCTGCTGCCCACAAATGATGACTGAAGCGTGTCTCTCTCTCTCTCTCTCTCTCGGTGCCTGTGTATGTGTGTGTGTGTGGAGCTATGAATGTGGGTAATTCGGTCATGAATATGCGAGCAATTTTTCCCATTGTATACCATACAATGTCCGAGTATTTTGGGTGTGCGCATACATATTTGTCGCAAATAGACTACATTACATTACTGCGACAGTTATCTCTTGATGTATGCACGAATACATAGGAATATAGTAGTAGAATTATAGGCAAAGAAAAAGTCGCATAAATAGCACGAAAACATATGCCCATTCTATACAGCATTGACAGAAACAAACAGAAAATGTAGTCGACCAGGCAGTTACCCATTAGACATGTTAGGAACTATTGTGTGAAGTTTATCGCGTGGAATGCCAAGATTATCTTACATCTTTTAAAATTGTTGTGAACTAAAACTGTAATGGATTATTGCATAGATCTTGATCTAAATTCATTTAAGGTATTTTCTCTAAGTTACCCATGTCCACCATGAGTCGAATTTATGGGGGTTTTGGAAAACGTCTCCAATTTACTGAAAAATTCAACTTCGTTTGGGCTATAGTTTGGTCATCAATCAGTCTATGAGGCAGTCAGGCAATGAATTGATCAATCAATCAGAGTGGCAGTCAGTCAGTCAATCAGTCGGTAAATCGATCAGTCAATCAGGTAGTCGAGCTGATTGGTCACTCTGTAATTTAGTTAATCAGTCGGGTAGTCAGTTAGGCATCAGTCATTAGATCAGTCAGTCAATCGAGGCAATCAATCAGTCAAACAGTCAGTCAGTCAATTAGTCCGTCAGTCAGTCCGTCAATCTTAAATATATGTATATGTAAATAGCCAGAATGTTAGTTTATATATATATGTCTAACAGTTTGTAAGCTCCATCCGATCATACAGCTATATATATTATATAGTTATTCATTCGCACAACCATCCTCTCAACAAGACTTGTGTTTACAGGGTATTATAAAGGCCGCATATAAAATTTAATAGCAACGAAAACTACAAAAAAACACAAGCAAAACAATGCCCATGAGAGTATGATTAAAATTAAATATGTTGCACATGTTGAACTTGAAAATTGTGGTGATGGCAACAGCTTTTGAATGAACAGAGTGTAAATTGGAGAGCGAAGGAGAAGGACAGAGCGACAGAGATAGGGAGAAAGGGAGAGACGGAGGGAGAGGGAGATAGAAAGAGAGAGAGAGAGTGTGGGAGAGGGAGAGGGAGAGAGAGAGAGAGAGAGGGAGGGAGAGAGAGAGGAAGGGAGAGAGAGAAAGGGAGAGAGAGAAAGGGAGAGAGATAAAGAGAGAGACAGAGAGAGAGAGAGAGAGAGAGAGCGAGAGAAAGGGAGAGATATAAAGAGAGAAAGAGAGAGAGAAAGAGATAAAGAGAGAGAGAGAGAAAGAGAGATAGAGAGAGAGACAAAGGGAGAGAGATAATGAAGGAATGGGAGCATATATTCAGACTTAACAAGAATTAAATCTTTAACCATTGAAGATGGAGAAATATTGGTGAAAATATGTGCAGGATAAGGATAAATGTGTGATAAGGATTAGGATAAGGTCGATGTCTCTCCTCACTTTTTCTGGTTCCAGGGTATTAATAAAAAAATAAATATGAAAAAATATAATATAATAAATGAAAAAATTGTCAACAAAAAGTTGAAAGTTGAAATAATTTTGTAATATGAAAAACTCATATAGCCCCTGAGATCTGATATCTGATTCGACTTGGTTTTATGCTGATCAAGCATTTTTGTTAGGGTTTCTGTTATTCTGATATATTTCAGACTTTTGACCAAAATTTATGCAAAATTCTTATCTTCGCTTTACCTATAAATCCACCAATGTTATCGAATCCTTTTATACTTTTGTAGATCAACTAGAAAGTATCTCTTGAGCACTTTGTGCATTTCCCTATGTTAGAAAGTAAAAGAAAAAATTTGTTATGCTTTTCATAAAAATGGTTTTTATAAGTTGAATACGTAACGTTCAGCCAATCCTGATATTTCTGGAATACTCTAACATGGCTGGATTAAGGCTTTTATGACTTCGCTCTGCCTTCTGTTTTTATTCTAAATTGTTTGTCATATTTATAAATATTTTATTTGCGCCCTTTTGTGGCTGCAACTTAGTTGCTCTTGACATCACATTTTCCTTTCTAGTTTTGGTGTCTAAAGGGGCAGTAAATGTGAATATAGCAGACAGGGCTGGCAAAGAGTATTAGTAAATGGACCCATTTGAAAAATAAATAATAAAAAGCGTAAAATGAAATGGTCGATTGATTCACCAAAACATACCCAAAACTGAGCAAAGCCACATGCGAGTCCTACGTCCTTATGAGTGTATGCAGAACAGGAGCTCACTTCATTGGGATTGCTTGAATGAAGCGCGCCGAGCCGGTTGTGTGTAGGTGATGCATGTGATAATGGCTATATTAGTTTTGACGGCAGGCTTGTAATTGTGCAGAAAAGTATTCATATTGCGCTATTAATTTGTCTAAAATTTCGTAAATCACATGCATCTGTAGTTTATTTCTTTTTTTCTAAGAGAATTTAAAACTATAATGAGACGATTTTTTCAAATAATAAGCATAAGCATATGCACATGTAACAGGAAATTGGCAAGTGTCACGAATATAATATAATGGAGAGAGCTATTCATACATATACTAAAAATACGATTCTATATGCCCATCTAAATCCAGTTACCGTGCTTGTTTTTCTAATCATATCAGCGCACTACGCATTCGGCTATACTAACGGGCTATATGTACAGTAGGGGACAAAAGAATCCGCACAGGAAAACACCTTATTATGTTAAAATTCTCAACAACCTAAAAGTTCACCCTTTTCTAATATAATATGTCGATCACTCTCCGTTTCAGAATGTGCAAAAGTGGTTGTCCGGGTTTTTGGTACGCTGCTATAACGTGCATATGTATATGCGTATACATATGTACATATATAGAGTAGCACATGTTGGAGTGTGTATTTGTATGTGTGGGGAGAGAATGAGCTTATCTTATAATTACCGTGCATCTTTGGCGAACAGATAAGAAAGCTAGCAAAACTATGCCAAGTACAAAACGAGTCTGAAATATTTGAGTTATTTTAAAGTACATTGAAAGTATTGAAAGTCCAGCTGTAGGGCAGCAGCGGTTCAGGTGCAAGACCGTTAGTTGCTGCGCCTGCTGTTGGCGTTGCTGCTGCTGCTGCAAAAAAAAAAAAAAAAAAACAAAAAAAAAACAATCAAACAAACACTGAACAGCTGCTTGCTTGGCATTGAAAACGTCACCGAGCGACAGAGCGCGTTAGAGAGCAAGAAGGAGAGCAAGAGATTGGCGGAGCGAACGAGGGAGGCGGAAGATTGTTGGGGCAGGCTGTCATTGCGGCATTCGTGTTTCCAGTACACGAGCAGCGCACGAAGCACGACAAGGCGCACACGAGCAAAACGAGCGCCGAAGACGATGGCGACCGGTTTTTGGGGCCGCTGGCATTCAGTGGCTCTGTCTGGCGCCTCAGTGCGAAGCGAAGCATCGAAAGTGTCAGGTGTCTAGCGGAATTTACGTTCGTTTTTGTCTCTCGTATATTTGGCGCATATTTTGACGTACGTTGCGAACTGCGGTGATTTCTTTAAAAACAAAATAATAGAAAAACAAAACAATAATAATAGTAAAAGACAATAAATAAAGAAAGTACGAATTTAGACGCGATTGTCGGCAAGATTTTTTGTTTAACGAAGTTTTTTGTGCATTTTTTTTCATCACACTTTTTTTTAATTGTGTGTTATTAATCATCTTCCAGCTAAAGTGCCAACAAAGTTTCCGCAAATAGAAAATAAATAGCAAAAAAAAAAAAATTATTAAAATACAAAAGTATACATTGTTATTGTTGTTGTTGTTGTTTTCTCGCTGAATTTATAAATTTAAGTATTTACATATTTCTATCTAGTAAATTTTCCCATTTGATTTGACTTTGAACTTGAGCGTGCGTTAGACAAGGACGGCGACGCGAGAGACACGAGCAGCATCCGATCGGCATTGATAATAATCTTTTTGGGTTTTTTTTTTTCATATTTTCGACAACCGCCTAATTAGCAATTTATTAATTGCACTTTTGTTGTTTAGCTGATTTCATTGACTGATTTCAACTTGCAATAACAAAAAGCTCAAAACCAAACGAATAATTGACAAATAGTTGTAATTGAGAAAGAACTGCGAACTTTGCTGACGCATGCAAAAGTCTCGTAATTTGCGCCAAGTATAATATGTATTGAAAACAATTTGTTGTGAATCGTCGCATGATAACCTTCTGAGATCATTGTTCCGATCAGAATTTTATTTATTTTTTTTTTTTAAATCAGCTTGCTGCTCAGCTCGAGAGGTGTTAAATATGTATGTGTGCATGTGAGCGCATGATGCGCACATTAATTAACAGACGCACACTAAAATCAAGTGTGCTGACAGTTAAATGTTCTTGTCAAATTATATGTTCGATATTCGAATTCGAAAATTCGAGTGCAGCTGTCCGCGTTGCGCTTCAACTGATTTCGTTTGCCGTTCCCGTTCAAAGCTCAGTCAAGCTTGGAGCGCTCTCTTTGGCTCTCTCTCTCGTTCAGTTGCGATCAGGCAGTAGTAAGCCGTTTATTGCGCTTCTCTCTCACTTCGCTCTCGTACGGTAATTTGAGTAACACCACATTGTTAATAATGCTTTGTCTTACGCCTCAAGTGGAGAAGTGTCTAGTTCGACGAACTATAAACATTAAATAACAATAATAAACAATAACAACAACAACAATAATAATATCAGTAAGTTGAAGCTGTTGTCTAAGTGTCTGTGCTTTGTCAAGCCACATCAAATATAATACAATAGAAAACATATACAAGCAATAACAGCAACAACAGCAACAACAACAACAGCAACAATCACATCAAAATTGTTGGCTCCAAAACACGCAACAGTCCGTCAGCCTAGACGCTGTCTTCATCGCGTGCGCCCTTACCCGCTTCACCGCTCACTCATATCACTGCCGCGCCGCTACTCAGCCAGCGGCTAGCAGTTCCGGCCGGTTCCAGTTCCAGTTCCTATCCACAGCAGGACCCAGCCCAGACTTCAAACAGTGCGCGCCGTGCGGTCGGTCGACTTTGCCTCAATAGACATACTTACTTCTGGCATACTCTGCAAACATATTGCACTCACATAGTTGTATATCTATAACCAAATTTGTTGTTGCTGTTGTTGTTTTTAGTACATTACATATATATATTTTTTTGTTTTTTTTTTTTTCTGTTTTCCATTTTATTATATATATTTTTTAACCGCCACCGCTGTGCGCCGCTGCTCCCGATCCCGTGCCACAACGTCGCGACCGTGCTGTTTTGCTTGCAACCGGAGAGTAGGTCAGGTCAGTGTGTATTACTTTACCAACTATTTAGCTATACCATGGTGGCATTATTCGCATTATTATATTATGGTCTAGCCGTGCTTCTCATACTCTTTTTCGACATACTATTGCCGTTACATGCAGAACATATTGGCTTAACAACTGTTGTTTTGCATTCGTTGTGAAAGTTCACATTGTTTTGGTTCATATTTATGGACACTTGGGTTACAGTTGTTCTGTTCGGCTGTTCGTGTGGTTCAGTGAGTGCCGTTATGAATAATGTACTCCCAAATAGATCATCAAGAGATATACAGCTGTATTTCTTTGCTAGTTGAGCTCTTGACGTTGCTTTGTTTCACATTTCTTCTGGCTTTACAAATTCGTCACACATTGGTTTTACGACTACTTGACTCACACACATATATATATATATATATATATATATATATGCATACACACACACACACACACAGCATTTTTCTCTTTTTGACAATTCTTTCGGTAGTTTTTCATATTTCGATGCCGTTTGTCATTTTTTTTCATTTGCAAATTTCACATGGGCATCATCTTTTTCATATGCCCACCTGATATAGGTAAAAACGGGTATATTCGTTTTGTGCAAATGTATGTAACAGTCAGAAAGTGGCTTCTCGGACTCGCACTTTTTTCCATGGATCTTTAAGAACATTCATTTGAAGCGAGTTTCACACATTTCGCAAATCCACCCAGGAGAAGGGGATTCGGCTAAAAGCTATTTTGGGGCATACTTTTAAGCTTTTTCCCGAACAGCTTCAAACTTATTTTTTGGCTTTCAAAGTAAGTTCGAAGCCGATCGAAAAAAAGCTTTAAACAGGGTTGAAATGTCAAAAAAGAGTATATTTGGTTCAGTTCACGCTTGGAAGCAATAAATTTCCGGCTCGAAGCCAGAGATTTCTATGAAACATTTCAATATAATTGTGCATTTATAAAAACATTAGGAATTGTCGTTAATACTCGCTTGAAGCAGTAGATTTTTATGATATTTTAGGACCGAAGAGTAAGAGTATTTAATATTCGTTTAGTTTAATCGCTGCCTAATATTAGGCTCCCTGTCTGTCCGTTTACATATATGTATATAATTGTTTTCTCTAACTGTCTGATTGATCCACGCACAGCCCGGCTAATGATGACTGGGTCGTATACTTAGGATTGGGTCTTAGACAACAATAGACAACAGACAACTGCACCAAAACCTTATTTCCATCGGGCGCATCTAGGTTCGAGCTGAAACTCAAAGATGCCAGTGCTGTTTATGTCATGTCAAATACGTTTCGTGGTTAGTTTGTAACCTAATCCTGCTAGTAGAATAATCAAGTAGAGTGCTCTAGTCGGCATTGCCTGATTAGGCGATAGTCTAAGCCCAGCGTCGAGCTGTCATTACAAATATACCAGCTACTTTATGTAGACAGATAGACATACATTTAAATATATAGACGAGCACGCGCACACGCCGCAAGCTGCGCAGTTTATGGAGCGGATGTGATTCTTCCTCTTCTACCCTCTGATACGTCCCATGTATTTATGAAAAATATATTCTTTCTTAACTTTGCTGTTTAAAGTCGAATTCTTTTAAAAATTTTGACGCTTAAATATGTCATTCAAAGGCGTCCAAATATGAGTCTTTTTCCAATTTCGGGAGGAATGGTATGATATAGTATCCAGAGAGTGAAATACTCGTTTCTTAATTTTTGAGTCATGTCTAAAAAGCAATATTATGCTTATCTTGAGGATATATGAACAATGATAAACAGCGTATCCAGAGTATATATTATTCAGATTCCGGAGCCCAAGACGAACATATATAAGAGCATCTCGCGTGGTAATCAACTGGTTTCTAGCCCATTTACTTTCGTTGGTTGAAGTCAAGCGATCAATAATCCATCTGAGGCTCACCCAGACCAAATATGGAACTAATTTATATGCCATTAAGTGCCATGAGTAGTTTGCTAGATTGGAGAATCGTCGTTCGTATTGAAATTCATGGATTACAGAACACGCCCACTTTATGTCCCTGGTAAGACAGAGTCTGGAGGATGAGGAGGGTGAGAGGGGGGGATGAGCACGCAAATAATTTGCAAGTTGCTTGGGTAAAAGTTGATTTGGTTTATGGGTTTTCAATGATGGAAGGGGGGAAGGAGGATTGGGGGCTGTTAACTGTTCTGTTGTGGAGGCGCCACAAAACAAAGAAACTATGCAAAAGTTTGTGACTCAAACAATTAACTCCGATTGAAAGTTATGCGCAACAAGATAATTGTGGCCGATAATTTATTGTGGCCCCAGCAACGCCTCCAGCCATCCATGCGACCACTCGAGTGGCGCCCAAGTGGCTCGACGGGATTTCGCCACGCCGTATTTTAATATAGCCAGTCTAGAAAAATGCTTCAAAGTGCTCCCAAGGCACGGGCCAAGGCTGAGCGACTGACTGACAGAATTGCGGAGGGGGGGGGGGGGGGGGGGGGGGGGATAACTACTGAGATACAGATAGAAATCAGCAGAGCGCAACAAAAACAAAGGTACAAAGCGAACTTTTGGTAACTGCGACTGCGACTGCGACTGCGACTGTCAAGCCAAATGCATTCAGACAAAAGGGGGGCGAAAGGAGGCGCAAGGACGCAGGACAAATGTTTCCAGGCCATGTTGCACGTTTGTTGTCCAGCAGCAGCTTGCAACTAGCCCATCTCGACTTGCCGGATACCCTACAATTTGTGGCATACAAATATCCTTTATCCTTTATTCAAGGATAAATCAAACTGGCCTTGAAGTAGAAAATATGCAATATAATTTAATATAATCTCTATTTTGATTGTCTTATTTGGAGTAATTGTTTATTAGCTGAAAATGAATCTATTCTCTGAGTTTTGAAAGCCTCCAAGTTGAGCTCTGCGCAGAGCAATACGCCCTGCTGCCAGCGCAGGGTATATCAAAATGCTCCACATCTTCAGCCGGACGCCTCTGTGGCGCATTTGCGTTGCGGTTTATGCAACAAAAAATACAAAATAAAAAACATCAAACAATAGTTATATTAGGCAGGCCGACCATTGAATACCCTATAACTTGGACGTAATTAGAAGAAACAACTTTATATTCTTCTATAAACTAAAGAATGTTGAAATCTGACTTCAAAACCCAATGACTTCTTGATGTGCGTTACGTTTTCTGTGACAAATTTTGAATACCCTCTGGCAGA